TGTCATTATTTCCGAAACAGTTGAAGATAGGTATATAACATTATACAGGGTGTCCCACGACGTTTTTTCTAGGTGGTAACTTCGGAACGCGTCATCCAATATAATTTAAATTTTGATGATCTGGGTAACTTTTTGTGCCGCTTCTACCATTGTCATCCAATTTCACCACTTTCGCTTTAATTTCAGTCAACTGACGTTAACTTTCGAATCTTAAATGTAACTCATGGTATATTATGGCATTTTTGATTAGAAAATTAAATTACAAAATTGGCCATGCTATATTTGTTAAGGCTTTTTAGAAGAAAATGATAAAAATAATTATACAGTGGAACATACGATGATGCGTTCCGAAGTTATCATTTGGGAAAAACCTCGTGGGACACCCGTGTATATGAAATATGTCTGGAATTTTCCGCAGAATCCAGAAATGTCATAATATACAGGGGGTCCCATTTAAATTTTTTATTTTTTTTTGTTTTTTAAATTTTTTGCAACACCCTGGATAAACAAAACTATGATTTCTGAGAACTATTTTTCAAGCACTACAACTTTCCTATTAAATTTTTTTCTATACACAGTGGCATAAAAATGTTAAGGGGGGTGGGAAAATATAAAAAAGACCCTGTACATAATTATTTGTTGTGTGTGTGCAAGGCATTAAATCTGATCTTTTGCCATGTGAAGCATATCATTTTTTCTCCGAATTTGTTACAATTTCATGCATAATCGACTTTCTTATATTCATCAATTGCGGTTATAACGTTTGTTGAATGGTTAGTAACGAACTTTTCTGCCTAGGCAGAAAAAGTCCACTTTCCCGTCGCTAACTGGAAATCGGAGACGTTCGTGACACCTGTCATTCAATAAGTATGGGTATTTTTATATAAAGTATTAATTATTATTAATTATACAGTTATCCAGATATTCCCGGACATTTTCATCATGCGTCCGGACACCGGACAAACCTTTAAAAAACCGGACAGTCCGGGTGAAAACCGGACAGGTGGCAACCCTAACTGCGGGCCCTGCGGGTCCTTAGTTACGCCACTGGCTAATATTGATAAATGTATCGAAGACCTCACGCCGATCAATACGAAGAGATTTCAAATGTCAATTTAGAAATAGTCTAATCTACACTGAGAAAATTTTTTCATTGTCATAGCTAATTTTTCTGCTGCCGTAGCCAAAAATTTTGGCTACATAGGGGACAGCCAAAATCTTTACTACCGCCGAAAAGATAACTTTACTGGCACCGTTTATTTGCGGTAGCAAAGTGACTTTATAAAGAATTTACTCACAGTTTCTACAAGGTCACTTTGCTGGCATAGAAAAGCTACTTTGCTGTCGTAGGAAAGTAGCTATGCTGTCCTAGAAAAGAGGTTATATACCCTCAAAAACATCCTTTTTTGCTATTGAAAAGTAGATTGCTAAGACAGAAAAGATATTTGTTGTTGTTATTAGAAATGCTTCCTGAAATAGGAAAGCGTTTGTCTCAGACCAAAAAATTTCTTGCCAGAATCAGCCAAGTGTTTTATTAGCAATGGGAAGTTATTTGTCTCACCAATAGCAAAAATATTTTGCTGGAAATCTTTGGAAATATGTAGTAGCGCGTCCATCATAACAAAACCAGGAGATAAACAAACTCTATTTAAACCCCTAAACTTTCATTACCTGATCTGAAATAATGTCAATTAATGAAAAGTTTGGCGCTAGAGTTGTTTCTGCTAGTTTTGATGGATGCGCTGGCACCATTTCCAAAAAGGTTCCCAGCGACCGACAATCGACTTGACTCGACAGCATCCACGATCCACACCGTACGGCGTTAGCTACTAAACTAAAATGGAAGAAAATGAACACGAAACATATTTTATCGGTTATTTTTGGACCCGAAGAAATCACGGAAATGTCCGAACGGTATTTTTAGTTAAGTTATTTGGCTAGGGTAGCAAAAAACATTACTGTAACAATAACAAAAATTACAGGAATTTTTTTTTGCTGCAACAGTAAAGTATCTATCTATCTTAGAAAAGTTCTATTTCGGAGAAGCAGAAATATTTTCATAAAATTTTAATTTTGCTATAACAGCAAAGTTTGGTTTTGGAATAAGAAATATCTTTGCAGTTTCAATAAAGTAGTTTCAGCAAAGTGGTCTTTTCTGTAGAAGCAAAATAACATTGCTACCTCTAAAACATTTTCCACTGTAACAGCTAAAAAAAAACCAGCAAAGAATTTTCTCCTGGGACTTTTCCCAGTGTACTCTATAGAAAGCTGATAATTTGTGTTTAATTATTTACTGTGTACAAAGCTGATAATAACTCGTTGAGTCAGGTAAAAAATACCTGAAAAAAATTATCGGCCTTAGCACTTGTGCAAATTATCGATAATTTGCACTTGTGCAAAATTACCGCTGTAATTGGCTTCCTATTGGTCCAAAATTGCCAGACGCCTCTGTATTTTCACCTGAATATTACCTGAAGGAAATTTTCACTTTTAAAGTCAATTGAACATTTTGACGACACCAAAAAAATTAATGTTTGTATTGTAAATTAGAGACGGGAATCAATAGTAACCATAGAGACACAATAGGCCCTTGCATCAAATTTTTTTATTGCTGATTTCGATAGTTTATGAAATATAAGTCAACACGTGTTTTTTCTTTTTCTTCTTAGTCAAAAGTTGACGGAAATACAACGCTTTGAAATGTGCTTATTTTAGATATTCTATGACGTCACTCCATGCTGAATATATCTATATATACAAAACTTAATATTTGTATAACTACCGTAATAATCATATTTGGGCGAAATAAAAAAAAAGTAACGATTTTTTTTCGATTTCTTACAGTTTGGCATTAACAATAATAGGTCTGTTTCTGCAGAAATTACAAACCAGTCAGAGCTAATTCGATTGGTTGAAAACAGTCAGAAAATTAGTTTGAACCAATGAAATTCGCTCTGACTGGTTTGTGATTTCTGCAGAAACAGACCTAATGAATTTAATTTTCCATGCAAGTACCCTATTATTTAGTGTATTTGTCGAAAGCAAAAGCCATTAACACAATCAAACAACAATTTTTATTAAATTCCTGAAATATTCTCCCTAAATACCATTCGTGCCTCAAAATTAACCAGATAATTTTCATTCAAGCTTGTACAAATTCAACTCGTTCTTCGAACTCGTGCGGAATTAAAGCAACCAGTGTTCATGAAAATTATCGGTAATTTTCATGCACTCGTGGTATTACCCCCGAATAATTCTTCAATTCGGTTGTGGGGATTTTTGAATGGTGTTAATAACCAAGGAACAATTTCATATGCCCTGTCTCCAAAAAGACAGAAATTACCCCGAAATCTTGCCACACTTTCATATGTGCAACTTTGTTTCCAGATTCTGGAATCGTGATCACTTCCCAACTTTAACCCTCTAGGCGGGGTGGGACCAACCTTTACTAAACTGCTGGACAATTGCTTTCGAACAGAAGAAAAATTTCGCCTAACTTTCAAAGGTCGATATTCTTGAACGCTTTTCTGAAACAGGTATCACTCGACCCCCTGTTCCATTCGGGATGGTAAGGGTTGGTCCCACCTCCCCTAGAGGGTTAAGTTAGTGCTGAAAAGGTTTCAAACATTCACACAATCAAATTACGTGTACAAGCAATTTTTTCGCAATGCGTTAGCTATAATATTCTTTGCCTAGACAGATAGTTTTGAAGCAAGGTCTGCATTGCGTCTGGATGTCTGAAGACCAAAAACAGATGTCTAAAAGACGCCCATAAAGATGTCGTAAATTCACATCTTGAAGACAATTGAGCCACACTATTTGGTACAACCGCGCCTAAAAGTGAATAATGATTTATATGCATTAAAAAGAGATTCAAGACGGCTATGGACATTTCGTTGAAGACGTCTTTAGAATGTCTTGATCATAAGGACGTTTTTAGGCAGACGTTGGGTTTTGTAACATATGACGGCTTTAAGATTCCTTGAACATATAAGCAGACGTCTCACAAACGTCTTGAATGTCGTATATGTGGACATCTTAGGTCTTGCGGATCCTTTTTAAGATGTCTACAATAACTTACCACAAAACTCGTTTCTCATTCAATTTAAAAGTTACAGGAAACCAATTGAAATGCTACAGAACACTTTAATAAGGCTTTTGGGAAGTTCGAAACAGTTAAAATTCAATTCCGATTTTCCAAAAGTATTCTGTAGTGCTTCAGAACAATTTGGGAACTTCAGAACCATTTTACAATGCTCCAAAACAACAAAAAAAAAACAATTATTTCAGAGAGCCTAGCGCCAGGAATAGACAAAAATTGAGAGTTATGAGTATGAGTAATAAGTAAATATTAACAAGAAAATATTTCTCTTTCAATTCATATTCTTGAATTTTTATAATTTTTCCTATTCCAGGCACTTGATTCTTGCTTATTTCTTTATTGTAAATTCTTTTGGCTCTTGATTTGTTTTTTAATTTTTAGCCCTGGCTCTTCTAATGTTTTCCTTTCAAAATTAATTTTTAGTAGGTATGTTTTTGCTTAAAAGAAATTGAAAGGTATAAAATGAGTAGGTAATAATAAATAATAATGAATAAGTTCTGAAGATGTCTTTAGGCAGACGTTTAAAAGTCAAAAGATGTCTTAAATGTCGTCTGTGGACATGCCTCTGTGCTATCTGAGAAGTCGGAAATGTTTTTGCTCCCATCTTAAAATCTTTAACGTCCACGTACATTCCATTTTCTGACGTCAAGGGTTCTATAAGAAAATTTTCTTTCAACGAAGACAAGCTGTCATAGTAATAAGGTCCTGTTTGACGATGAATACTAAATCCTGTGGTCTCTTTTTCAAACGGGAGAAAACTATGTCTTTATCCATTAATTCAGCCGATAACCTATCATTTCCATCTGGATGCTTCTTTAAATGAAGAAAAGTCAGAAAAATATATTTATTATTTTGCACATTTGGTACCTAATAAATTCGAAAAAAGAAGTGAAGCAGGTTGTAAAAGTTTTAACTTTAATTTTACTCATTAAAGACATACAAATAGCCACTTAAATTAGGTAACCAAATAGATACAAATATCAAAACACTACAGAAAAATGTATAAACAAAGTATATGGCACACGATTATTTCAGTTAATTCCTTATTAGTTAAAAATTATAAATTCATTTCCCCTTTTCCACGGACAGAGATACTGTCTGTAGTTCAGCATTGGTCTCACCCTTTTCAGATTTACTCTGAACCTCCATGGCCTTTTTCGAGTTTTCCACAAACTCCATTAAATCTCTTGACATGTAATATGGCTTGGATATACCATCATTCAATTCGCAGTCTTCGCAAAAGCAAATGAAAATCGTATCGATGGTCATCTAAATAAGACAGTAGGAATGCAAAACTTAAAATGTCGCTTTTTTTTTAAACAAAAGTATTGCTTACCTCATAAACTGACATGAAACAATGAGAAATAAAGTAGCTAAATAAACCCACCAGTACCAACGGTACCCAAACGTGCTGGATATTTTCCTGGTTCTGAAATTTGGCAGCAAACACAATTTAGTCCAAAAATATCATTAAAAAAAATGTATTTAGTTTTTTCTTTAAAAAAATACCTACCTTTAAATAATAACATCCAACAGTAACAGAACAAGCAACAATTAAAACTTTGGAAAGAAACAGAACAAAGTCGCCCACAGAATTAATTGCAGTCACTCGAAGTGGATTGGCAGACAAAATTGTAAAAGCTCGCTTTCCGGATTTCCAAAAAGAATGTCCATAAATGGCTAGAAGAACATTATTAATCCAAATAGATGATGCAACTTCAAAAGCTGATACCTGTTATTATATAAGCGTTCCGACTCAAAATTTCCAAAATATGTTGCAAAATCCACAAACAACCCTTGCACAAACAAATCAGACATTTCACTGATTTAAGTTTTTCATTTTGAAACATTTTTTGGGCATAACTGAGTATGGCTCTAAGTATTTGCACTACGACTAGTAGAAATGATCCTACTGTAATCGTTCCTAAATGGTACCTAGTTAAATTGTAGAAGCTTTCGGTAATAGGAACTGAAAGCTGAGATTTTTGCCTGATGGTGAAATAACTTAATTATTTAATTTAAACCAAAAATATTGCAAGTTCACCTTGTAAAGTACCATTTCGACACAGCACCAGCTATAACCATGTGCTGACAACCAATTACAAACTGAATCATCCATAGCATTCCGAAAATGTTTAAATATTTTGCGGTTTCCATAAAACCATCTTTTCTGTAAAAATACTTATTGGCATTGGTGCTTCTTTCTGTGAAAATTCCAGCGCTACTGACCCACATGCAGAAATAGATCCATAGGGCGATGGTGCACAATATTGACAAAAACGTCTTGAATAATATTTGTTTTAGTGCAATAAATTGAATTTAGATTGTCTATCTTACCAAAAGTGGCTCGGCTAATAACACTGGCATATCCGAAACTGCTTTTCCAGCTTCCTGGAATAATTGGACTACAAGTTTGATTCTTTTCCTCATCACTACTATAATGAGTACGACTACAACTGTTACACAAGTTGCTGTTACAGCCATACCTAAATAAGTCCATACTTGACGTTGTTTAATTTCTGCATCCAGAGATTTTAGTGTTCTGAGTTCATTCCAAGACATCCTAAACATTGTGTTAATGATATGAATTCATTTTGCAACGTCTTACCATAAATAAACTGTTGCTCCTGCACATGCCCACACTACACCTACTAATACCACATAGACCATGAATTTTGCTATGAATGGGAAAAGTAACAAGAAGCCAAGGGATATTACTAGAAAAATGTTGAGGATAAATTATGTTTTATTTAGATAATTGTTCTTGAAGCTTACCTACAGATATAAGTAATAATGGAACAAATACTTTCCAGTAAACGTGAAAGTCTTCAGACATTTCCTGTAAAGAACAAGAAGATTAGGAGGTTTGAAAATGTTTTAGATATATGAAATTACCACAAAAAAATCTACAAGACCAGTATGAATGAAAATTTTATCAATGGCAGCTTTTTTGGCTGATGGCAGGCATCTATTAAGAAACATCTCACTGGAATTAGTAAAAATATTAAATAAGTTTTTCTTACAAATTGTATATTTGTCTTGTATGTATGTTTCAATGAGTGATAAGTGAATTTTATGTAAAGTCAATTCGGTTGTTACTGTTTGGGAAGTGAGTTATAATGAACCCGGAATCCGCAATGATATTAAGAGCCTCTTATAGGCATTCCAGAAATGATTTTATATAATTCGTGCAAATATCATCATAATCTGTATATAGATTTTGAACTTGAAATAGATAGCCCTAAATAGAGTTTATTTTGATAAATCTCATACATTTTCTCGCTTTCTTATTGCTACATAAAACCGCAGCAATGAAGCAACAAAATGTTTTACTGAAAATGCAAATAAGCTTATTTCGTCTCATCTCTAAAACCATTAATAATCACAAATTATAACTTACTATCCAGCATAATTTTTGCAACTATTCGTACAAATTCTATCGTTAAGCGTTGATTCTCCTTTTTTGGTCAGAAAATATCTGAAATCAAATTGCAACAAGAATGATTAAACAATATTTGATTCACCTTCCAAAATGCGCTTCATCTACGGTTTTATAGCAATTTTCTAAGTTTGTATTTTTCATGTCTTTGATGTAATTATCACCACATATGGTTCCACAATTATCGTAGCCGTTAATGACTCTTCTAATATCTCCATGGTAAATGCAGTAACCAATTAAACCGCACTAAAAATGAACAGATAATCTAAACAGAACCTATTAATGAAATTGAATAATCTTACCAAAACTGTTAAAAATGTTACAAACACAGTAAAACAACATACATCGGTGGGCTTGCGATTTTTTGTGTGAAGCTCATAAAAATCTGCATTTATTGTTTTCTCAGGTTTTGGACAATCTTCAACCTAAAAAAGTATAAAAATTAATAAAAATCAAAAACAATATAATTACCAACCAATTCACTTAAACTAAACATATTAAGTACCTATATAAAATTATATACTAGCTACTACTTATGTGAAAATATATGAAACAAATAGCGTGTCTCTAACATATTAAATATGTCACGTAATGAATTTATTACACATTTTCAACTCCCCTGAATGATAAGTCACGTAAGGGAGGATTAATTAAATAGACATACTTGAAAAACAAAATATACTTACCTCATTTATTGTTGGATATACTTTCGCTAAGTTCGAGGATGAGCTCTTTTTCTTCATTATTGCGCCTGTTAAAAATCTGTAACATTTAAATTAATCTTTAACACCAAACAGTGCAATCGAGAATTTAGTGGGTTTCAAAGATAATATGCTCAAATTATTCATTTAAAGTTAATTGGACGTGCGCCATTTGAGATGAACGTTGAATATTTAGTTTGTTGCTGAAAAGCGATTTAAAATTATTCTTACCAATCAAAAACGAACTTTACACTATGTTTTGTACTGAAACAAAGTATATTAGTTAAAAAAAGAGGTTCTCATATGAAAGTTAATGAGGTGGTTTTCAAATTTGTATATTACTTAATTTTAGATTGTGGTAGACTGTAAAAATAAACCCCTTTCGTGCAGCTACAGTCTGGTGTTATAGATTATTTAACGACTGAAAGTCATTTCTGTATGCAAGCAAGCATATTATTTTCCATTTGGAGTTTATTTAGAACCAATAAGAATAATTACATTAATTTGTTTTCAATATTATAAATTTTATACCATTCTACTTACCATTGAAATGCACTCAAACTAATGAACTACAAAATGTTTGTTTTGTTGCATGCTTGCATGAGCTTCCGGCTTTGTTCCAACGGGCCCAAACAATGAGGGGTTGCTAATGACGACGATTACTGGTGATATGGTACAAGTTTCAAAGTATCCATGGCTTTGTTTTTTCTGCAATACTTTTTTACCATTGTGGGTTTATTTTTCAGTGGATGTTATTGCTGATGAGAAGACTTTTTATATTCATTAAGTGATTTTGGTATGTACCTATGTGGTTTTTAATAAAAATGCTATTACCTATAGATTATTGCTACGAAATCCAGAAAAACGGCGTCCGCCAGGCTGTCAAGAATCGATGGCGGAAATACTAGAATCTAGCGAATTATTCTACTTTAATCTGGAAAATTAGATTATCGTGTGTATTCTAGATTTCACAGGAATAGATTTAGGGATATATAAGAAGGCCGGCATTGGTTTGTAAGTTTAGTTTCAGTTCGACTGTGATACGATTTAAATAGTGATTGTAAAGAGTTTGATTGTTGAGTTTGTTAATAAAGTAATTAGTGTCAGAGTGTTTTGTTAAGTGGAATAAATTATTGCTGTGTTAATTGGACTTTGATTTTTGGGATAAACGAAACGAACAACGAACCCAAGATTTTTGTCAGCAGGCAACCCAAAGCCGCGACACTGGTGTCAGAAGTGGGATTTAAAGGACTGCAGAGTGAAATCCAATTACGGAAGTGCGGGGACACTAGTGTAGTATAAAAACTGAACACTAAGTGAACACTGGGACAGTTAGTGCAGTGCAAACAGTGACAATCACAAAAAGAGACTTAACCGATCGTGTGAATTACCCCGGAAGTGACTCTATACCCGATTTAGACTGTGATAGTGAATCTTCGAGTGAGTTCTAGAAAATTCTATTTGGAAACTAAGGAAGATATTGAATTAGTGACTTCGCCGACGTATTCAGAACATCAATCCTCATTCAGAAGAGATTTTTCGAGGAGTTTCGGGAAAATTCTAGAACATTCTATTTGGAAACCAAGGGAGATATCGAAATTGTGACTTCACCGACGTGTTTGCTGTATCAATCGACATCTAGAAAAGAAATTTCAAGGAAATTCCAGAACATTCTATTCGCGAATAAAGCAAGTTGTGACTTCACCGGCGTGTTGGAACTTCGAGCACAGACCAGAAAAGATATTTGAAGAAAGTTCGAGGGAAATTCTAGAACATTCTGTATATGCCTATCACAAGACAACAAGCCAAAATGGATGAACAAAAAGTTGAAGAACTCCTGCGCAAAATGTTGGAACTTCAAGAGACCAAACGACAACAAGAAAAACAAGACGAAGAAGCTAGACGACAACAAGAAGAGGCTAGAAGACAACAAGAAAAACAAGACGAAGAAGCCAGACGACTACAAGAAAAACAAGACGAAGAAGCCAGACGACAACAAGAAAAACAAGACGAAGAAGCTAGAAGACAACAAGAAAAACAGGACGAAGAAGCCAGACGACTACAAGAAAAACAAGACGAAGAAGCCAGACGACAACAAGAAAAACAAGACGAAGAACTCAGGCGACAAAAAGAAAAACAAGAAGAAGAAGCTAGACGACAACAAGAAGAAGCTAGGCGACAACAAGAACGGCAAGAAGACCTTGCAAAACTGCAGAAGATATTCCAAACCATACAAGGAACTGTCGCTAACTTAGACCAGAAGATTGAAAAAGTTAAAGACGATGTGCAAGAAGTTAAACACGACGTCCAGGAAGTAAAAACTGAAGTCAAAATCGATGTTCAAGAAGTTAAAGACGATGTAAGAGAAGTTAAACACGACGTTCAGGGAGTAAAAGCTGAGGTCAAAGCCGATGTTCAGCAATTAAGACAAGAAGTTGAGGACCAAGTTCAAGCACTCGAGGATAAGATGCGTAGATCAGAAATACAGTCCATCAATCCAGCTAGTGTTAGAGCATTCTCCAGTATGAAGATAAAACCACCAACATTCGACGGTTCTACGTCCTGGACCATGTATATTCGACAATTTGAAGCTGTTGCAAATACCAACGGATGGAACGACCAAGAAAAAGCTACAGCACTAATAGTGGCGCTACGAGGACCTGCCTTAGACCTTCTTCAGTCCATTCCTTCAGTCTTCCAACAGAATTACCAGCATCTTAGTCAAACTTTAGAACTGCGCTTCGGAGACCAATACAGACAAGAAGTATTCAGAACTCAAGTTAAGTCAAGAGTTCAAAAACCCGGCGAGAGTCTACAAGAATTCGAATCGGAAGTTAAAGTGAGTTTGGCGTTTCCTGCAGCTGGGAAAGACATGCAGGAGGATGGCAATATCTGCGTTTATTGATGGTCTCAGAGATTCGAAGATCCAGGAAAACCTAAGAATGTCCAAGTTTAGACCAAGTAACGAAGCCCTTGTCCGAGCATTAGAACTGGAAGCAATCTTTGGTGCCTCACGACCCAGAATACGAGCCCTGTCCATTGAGGACCCAAAGGAAAAACAATCATCAAAAGAGGATAATAGTTTCGAAGCCAAAATGAGTAATTTCATGGAGAGAATAAAGAAACTGTTACTAGAAGATAGAAAAATGGGGAACGATTCCAGACAAACACCAACCCCGAGAAACCGAGTAAAATGCTACCGGTGCCAAAAACTTGGACACATGCAATGGGATTGTAGACTAAGGATGTCCTTTCCATCTGAGGATCATTCTCAACGCTTTTCAAGGTCTAGAGACGCCAGCCCTAATAACAAACAGGAACCAACTAGTACGGAAGGGAAGATGCTGGCTAGTAATGACGAAGCCCCCAGAGTTGTGTACATAAAATCATTGGGCAGTCATTATAGAGGATTAAAATTCGAACAACAACAAATCAATGGAGAATTGAAAACCATCAAACGGGTGCTGAAGTTTCCATAATTAGAAGAACATTAATCAAGTCTCGGGCAATCCAACCGCTCACTAGAAACCTGTCACTACGAACAGTCACCGGCGAAACTGCACCAGTTCAAGGAGAAGCGATGGTTGAGCTCACTTTTGGATCTACCACCTGCAGGCACAGAACACTAGTCGCCGATATAAAAGATGACTTTATTTTGGGAATGGATTTGATCGGCCAACATGGTTTCTCCTTTGATCCTTCCATGAACATCCTTAAATTTGGTAATGAAGAAATTATCCTAACAACACAAGAAGAATCCGATGCTGTTAAGATCTTGGCCACAACCCCAGTGAGGATTCCTGGAAGTACTGAGAAGATCATTTGCGGAAGATTAGAAACAAACCCTGGGTGCTGCGTTGGGCTAACACGTAATTTAATTGGAGACAAACCAGAAAGATTTCTTGTTGGAAAGACCCTAGTAAGAACAAATGGAGACATTATGATAAGAATTGCCAATGTTTCTTCCGAAACAGTAAGAATAAAGGAAGGAGACATTATTGGAGCTCTCGAACCAGTGAAGCAAATATCGAATTGTGACCTACCAGATAAGCGACATTTTGTGAAATCCAAATTGGATACAGACATCTTGATGCAGACTTTGGCGAAATCATGGAAACATCTCGATCCAGATAGACTTCAAGAAGCCACAGATTTCATTTTGAAAGAAGCAGACGTATTTGTGATGGACAATCAAACCGGACGAACCAGCTTAATTCAACACAAAATTGATACTGGATTGGCACACCCAATTAGACAACCACCACGACGTATGCCAGTAGCTAAGCAACAGGAAGTGGAAAACCAAATTGATAAAATGCTTCAAGAGGGAATCATTGAAGAGTAATAGTCCATGGTCCGCGTCAGTAGTACTGGTTACGAAGAAAGATGGGAGTCTTAGATATTGTGTGGACTACCGAAAGCTTAATGACGTCACCAAGAAGGACAGCTTCCCTCTCCCAAGAATAGACGATACACTAACAACTCTATCGGGCTCCAAATGGTTTTCCACCTTGGATCTCAAAAGTGGATACTGGCAAGTGGCAATACATGACGATGACAAAGAGAAAACTGCCTTCAGTACCGGAAGCGGGCTATACCAGTTTAATGTAATGCCTTTCGGATTGTGTAATGCTCCAGCTACGTTTGAGCGACTGATGCATCTTGTTTTGCGAGGCCTTACATGGAGAACTTGCCTGGTATATTTGGATGATGTCATGATTATGGGAAATTCGTTCCAAGAACATCTCAATAACCTGAAAGAAGTTTTTGACCGCTTCCGGAATGCCAACTTGAAACTCAAAATTCTTAGGTCACGTGGTATCTGAAGAGGGCATACAAGTTATGGAAGGAAAAATAGATGCTGTCAGGGACTGGCCAAAACCACGCGACAAACATGAACTAAGGAGTTTTCTAGGATTATGTTCTTATTATCGAAGATTTGTGGGAGGATTCGCCAATATAGCTGCTCCACTTCATCGATTAACAGAAGATAAATCAACATTCAATTGGACCCAAGAATGCGATTCCGCATTTAGAAAATTGAAAGGAGCATTATGTACGAGCCCAGTGTTGTCCTATCCTGATCACAAAGGCATGTTGATTTTGGACACAGATGCAAGTAACACCAGTGTTGGAGCTGTCCTTTCACAAATCCAAAATTCACAAGAACATGTCGTGGAGTACTACAGCAGAACATTATCAAAGCCGGAACGAAATTATTGTGTCACCAGAAGAGAGTTGCTTGCCATAGTAAAAGCAGTCGACCATTTTCACAAGTATCTCTACGGACGCAAGTTTCTAATTCGAACAGATCACGCAGCTTTAAAATGGCTTTTAGAAATGAAAACTCCTGAAGGACAGCTTGCTAGATGGATTGAGAAATTACAGCAATATGATTTCCAAATTAAACATCGATCTGGAAACCTGCATAAAAATGCTGACGCTCTGTCTAGACGGCCATGTGAAGAAGATTGCAAACATTGTCAAAGAATCGATATACATGAGAAAAACACTAGTCCAGCTGTAAGAAGAACGGGCCTGATCGTCGATGACAAATGGACTACCAAGCAAATGGGGAAGATCAGGAGGCAGACCAGGACATCGGGCAAATTC